CAACTTTTCTGCTGTAAGCGGCCATTGAGCTACCCAAACAGGATCATCTGATTGCCAGGTTATACGATCCACATAGTTTGAGGGTGCAGGGTCGTCAATGGCCGCCATTATAAATTTCCCAGACCTTGCTTATCATTTTGACCTGTGCTTGCTAAGGGTGACACCCTTCCATTTTCTTTCTTCCCTAATCCTTTGCCAGGGCTGTATCCTTGAGCAAGCATCTGTGCAGTAACAACATCATTTGGACTACACATAACTATTCTCATTTGTGAAAGCAAATCTCTTCCCCACAGGTTTACCGGTAGATAAGGGACCACAAAAGGCTTAATCAAACCAGAATTATTCATGGAATCTTTCCAAGTGAGAAATTTTGAGCTCTGTTTTGGGTTTTGGTTCTGTCCTATGCCTTTTAAGTTGGTCAGAGTTTCAACTGTAGGCCAGGCTATGGGCCAGGTCTCAGCAGAAATAATAGTAACATCAGCTCCAGTATCAATAAGACCATGAAATTTCTTTCCATCAAGCCATAAAGTTAAGGTAGGTTTTTTATGAGTAACGGCTTGTACCCAATAAGCATTGAATGAACCAAAGTTTTTATTTCCTCTGCTATTTCCTTGAACAAGATGATTGGAATTAACCATGGGAATTAAAATTATCTGAGCAATACGTTCCCCTTGTGGAATGGTGACTATTTTATCAAGAGCTCGGGCTAAGACTTTTATTTCCCCAGTATAGTCTGCATCAATTATCCCAGGCACAACAGATAGGCCTTTAAGAGCGGTGCTACCGCACCCTAATATCAGCCCGCAAGTATTGGCAGGGAGTGGTCCATAAATTCCAGTCCCTATGGTCTGAATTCCCATCTCTGGAGTCAATACTGTGTGGGAGGAGGAACTGAGGTCCAGTCCTGCGCTTCCTGGGGTTGCTGTGCTGAGGTCTGAAATGAGTTGCTGCTGCTGGCGGGAATGAAATTGACTGCCCCAAATGCTTGTTTCGGGGCCTGGGGCTGGCACCTCCACCAGTTTCCCTGACGAGGAGATAAAGGTCTCCCTTTGATATCAGTCTTAGACCTACAATCTCTGAGCCAGTGTCTTCCCCTTCTACACCTGGGACACAATCTAGGAGCCTTTGTATCATCAGTCTTTTGCTGATCACCATCTACCTTGCATTCCTGGGCAAAGTGCCCACTCTTACCACATTTAAAACACCCCTTGCTCTTAGCCTTATACCTATCAGCCAGAAAATCCTTTACAGTTTGTCCATTAAAAGTTGCCATGGCAAGCCCCTGCTGATAAGATGGACCTGTCTGAACACAGACAAATATAGCCAGTCAAATCCATCTTTTTCCTATAGGGTCTAATGGCTGCCTGGCAGGCAGGATTAGCATTTTCATAAGCCAACTGTTTCACATAATCTAGCCCTGCATCAACATTTCCAAATATTCTCCCTGCTGTGGTCATTAACCGATGAACAAAATCTGCAAATGGCTCATCAGATCCCTGCTTAACTGAAATGAGAGAAGCTCCCAGGTCCCCTTTGACCGGAAGTCTTCTCCATGCTTTCATGGCAGCAACTCGAATTTGTGCAAAAAGACCTGCGTCATAGTGCATCTGTAGTTCATTGGATTCATACTGGCCTCTACCTATTAACATATCAAAATCCCATCCATTT